AGATAGAAAACCTAATTAACATATTTGGAAAGACACATCTATGAAAGATAAATTCTCCCATAAAGCTTCGATAAATTCCCTTCATAACTACAGCTGTAGTTATGAGAGTTTGGTGTTTTGACCAGACAAAACCATTCACATGATACATCTCTGTTCTCTCTTTACCTTCTTCCTGGATATTATTAGGAAATTGTGGGGAGAAAATAGCTTCTCGAAGTTTACATGTAAGGATAAAGGCTCTAAGTGTACAACATAAGAACAGGTCCCATGTCTACAAACAACCCATTGTACTCCATCTATCATCTGGTACAGCATTCAATACACAGGCACACTGGAAATTCAAAATTGAGAAAGACTTACCGCTAAGACAGCCATGTTCATCTTCCTTGCTTCCTGTTTGGCTTCATCCATTCTTGTTGTGTTGCTGGTGACAATGTCTGCATCTGAAGGACTGAGCTGGAGAAAGAAAAATGAACTTCTAACATCTATTTACTTGCAAGAGCTCTACATAACTACTCCCTGGAAATGCGAAGTAAAGCTAAAGTGATCCCCTATGAACCATGTCTGGTAGCTGTCAAATTAAAAAAAAAAAAAAGAATGGGACACTGTTGAACTAGCCCCTCCACTTCAATAAGCAGCACCCTTCAATCAGCTCTCCTCCAATACTTTAACTGAATGAGTAGACCTTATATCTGCCAAAAATTTAAAACACAAGCTCCCTCCACCCCTCTTTGCACTGGCATCTCCTTCCTCCCCGGAGTATTATTGCACTGGTCATGTGTAGTCTATTTTGTCCAACTTTGCACCTGTATTCATGTGCCATAGGTGGTTCAGAGATTGACCACATTAAGTTTGCAAACACTAACATGAGTACCATCTTTGCAGCTATTTAACAGGCCAGTCAAATTTGGCCAAAATTGGGGAAAAGTGAGCACCTCACTTTCCCTTTTGTAGATGAAAAAGTGTTAAAAAAAAAAAAAAAAAAGTAAAAAGACACTTTAAATTAAGTCATACTTTTCTATTGTATGCTGTTGGGTTTTGTTTTTACTTACATAAAGATAAAGGTCATCCAAGTTGAGTAGACCATGCTTTATAAGCAGAGCTGTCAAATGGAAAAGTGACGGAGGGGTGGGCAAGTCAGGCTGCTCCTAAAACAAAAGAATGTCACAAAAACAATATTAGAGAGAAATTCCCATTTCATCCTAAAAGAGTCAATCTTAAAACTCCTTTTCTCTCAAAAATCCATACCTTATAAAACTGGAATTTAAAGCCTATGATGTGGCAGAGGGCAGTGAATTCACATTTCTCCATGTATGATTTCAAAAGGGGAAGAAAGAAGTCCTCTATATCAATGCGGCATTCAAACGAGTCCAGCAACACGTCAAGAGTTTTGTTTGGATCAAGATTGAACCGCCCTGAAACAAAAAAAAAAATCATAATAATTAATCTTTTAACTCCCAAGATCTGATTATTAATTCTCCCATCTAGCTGTTACACATTTTCTTGTGAGTAAGTTACCAGAATTTGGTATTATATCGTAATCTCATCACCTGATTGTTGGATACTGTAGGGATATTATAGGGAGATGTTACATGTAAATCACTTCTAGGAGTTAAAGGGTTAATTGATGTCATGGTCTCAATTCAAATTTTACAAAAAAGACTACAATATATGTTGACAGTGATGAATGCAGTTATGAAATACACAAGTTTTCATTAGCAACTACAATAAGTTAGGTGGAAGTATCTGGCTGAAGATGGTAGACTAGCCACCTGTTTCAGACATCTTCTAGCTCTCAATGACAGTTCTGCACTTGTTTGGTATCTAACAGTTATCCTGACCTATTAGAGACTTGATGTTCTCCAGAACTCTCTCACTGGTGACATGTCCACTGATTTCTTGTCCCAGTTCTGTCACCAGTTTGGCATAGCCCTCACTCTCCTCCCTCACAAGATTAAATTTCTGCTGCTTATAGCTAAGGAAACGAAAATAACAACAACAGAAGTAAAGAAATCTGCATGAAAAATACCAAACCACCGGAGTACACTGACACCTTTGAGGCCTAAAAAGAATCAGAGGGCGTCTACCAGATATCCACTTAATTGCCAGCCTCAGTTCAGATACAACATATTCTTAAAAACAACCAATAATGGTCAACTTGAAAACACTCAACAGGGCTGTTCTCTGGCAATTTACAAAGTAAACATAACATTTTGCTACTCAGTGAAACCTGTAATGCACACACACCACATGACTCACACTACTGTTGGCTTTTATCAGACTGTCTAACAGATGCAAGTTAAGAAAGCTGCTTAACAGTGAGTGATTGCTGAGACAAATCGAGTAAAGAGAGAGCACAGCCATGTTTCAAATATCATTCATTAAGACAAATAAAAAGTAAAGCTTATGGATACTTAAGCTTATTGGATTATGCTTGTCAATTGAAAACTACTGGTATGTTATCTTAAAAACGAACTGCTTAACCATGAAAATCAAATATTTTATAAGGATGAGAAGTTGACCTTCAGCATACACTTACAATAGTTTAGTCTTGGTCCTGACATATTTCTGATTAAAAGCCTTTGTTAACTGTATGATTCCTAGTGAGTCCAATGTCTCCACTTCGAGCCTCTCCTTGAGCAGAACTTCTGGAACCAATCCCTACAGACAGTCATGTAGATTAAAAAAAGGAAACATCTAGATGTGTTCAAATAACATTTACTATATCTACATATGTTTTATTCTTTGGTATCATTGGAATGATCGAGAATATTTTGAATTGTTCCCAAGGAAAAAGAGGTCTTCCACTATTTGAGAGTTTCTTAGTTTCTTTGTAACAATGTAGTAATTTATCACAACAAAAAAATCAGATGATTTGGTTTTATCAACTGAGTTGACAATATAGATTAGCCACCATAAAGAGTTTCTAAAGCGTATGTTTTAAGTGTTTGCCCTCATCAGAGCTGACTAAAGGCTAATGCTCGAAACTTCAGCTTTGAAACTCTTTAAAATAGCTAATTTACATTATCAATAATGATTATCAATAATTGTGTTCTACTACCCCACCAATGATGCACCACTGTCAGTTCCTTTAGAACCTTACCCCCTTTATTAAAAAAATTAAATTGTATTTAAGTCTTTACTTAAAGTCACTGTGCTAGTGCAATCTCAATTTCTTGATGTACTGAGGGAAGCCCCCAAATTTTTCCCCTTGGATGGCCTTATATATAAGCAGCAATTTTGCTGGACATAGACCAAGAATTCCTCTACTTGCTGGCTCTAATTGACACTCCTGTTACTAGAGCAAATAATTTCTTGAAAAACAAAAATAATTTCTTTGAGCAACATCACTGCCTTTTGGCTTCTTAACATACCACGCAAGCTCCGACCAGAGACAAGAACCTCTCCCTGCTGGGCTTGTCCTCTGCGCACTGACTCTCCACATCTATAGGATTGTGAATACACCAGGAACCATAGGATACATACAATCATGAAAACCTGTGCTCCTGACAACACTGCAGTCAGCACATGACATTGGACAGAATAATTAAACAAATTTTAATGTAAAGCAACAGCAATTAATTGGATAGAGCTTGAGTACCCAAGATACATATCAGGTCAGCTAGCAGTGATGAACATCCTGGATGGACTTCCTGAAAAATAAAAACAAAATATAAATAAAAACAATAGCCAAGGCAAAACCTTGATTATGCCAGAGCTGTTATTTAAAGCATTAACCTCAAGATCTGATCATTAATTCTCCCCTATTGCTGATGTGCATTTACTTGTAGATTAGTGCGGAGAATTTGATGCTCGATCAAGTAACAACTTCTATTTAATATGGTTGGGTATTCTTAATAACTGTTTGCTGGATAAAGTATTGATAGTTTAGGGAGAAATTACATGTTAATCAGTTCTTGGAGTTAGAGGGTTAAACGTAAATCAAAGGATTACCAGGCTCCTTTGTGCTCTATTGAAGGGCTAATGCATGAAAAATGTCTGCTTTCAAAATTCTCAGACACCACTTACTCCATCAACCCCTGTGAGCGACTAGCATCTAATTTATCCAAATGGACTAACTGCTCAATCAAACATTGAGGTCGCAAGAATGAAAGAAACAATTGCCAACTGAAGGAACTCTTGGCTTTTAACTAAATTCTCCCTGTCGATGCCATAGGAAATTTACGGAGAATATTCACTCTGAAGTTGAGGCGAAAAGGGTAAATATATCTGTCATAAACAAAGTTTTTCACTTGCCCCTGACACAAAACAAAAAAGTACAGTTTCCTGGGAAACTAATCAATCTAAGGAGATACAAAGATGCGCTGATATTTTGTTTTGAACGGAACTAACATAATCAGAATTTAATTAGAAAAGCGCGATCGGAAAATTATGAAAACACAAGTTGTAGACCTCCAAAAGTCTTATGAACCAAAGCTGGACGTTTAATCGAAATACGCTAGAGCATAAATTCAACTCAGAATTGGAAGTAACAAATCGAACGAATAATCAAAGAATAAATGGATCCTCACCGTGACATCTGACAGGAGCGGTATAGCATCTTCCTGTCTTAGATCCCCTTGAATAACATGGTTAAATACTTCATAGATCACGCGTTTAAGATCTAAAGTAAAAATGACAACCAATTTAGAAATCATCACAAGAATTTAAATATAATTGACAAGTACACCTACGTACCATTTTCTCCGCATTGAAAGTTTAGTTCCAGAAGCTCTCCATCTTTGCCTCGCACGCAGTTCTTGCACAAACGAAACCTGCAAAAAAATATTAACGATTCAAACAGACTGAATATAAAATGGCATTTCAAAGGGAATGAACAGACTTACACTTCATCTTTCCCCGATTTTTCCCAATTCTTTACTAAATTGGATGGGACAACGATAGCCGCCATTTTTCCTCCACATGGCGCAAGTATCCCGGATGCTTACAACCGCAGTATGATTGCCGGCTCAATATGAATCAGCACACTTCAACTACTTGCTTCCCACATGTATGCCTGGAGCAAGAGAGTTTATGCAGTCCTCGACTTGCCATAAGAAATTCTTTAGTTTTTTAATATGGAGATCTTACTGCCAGCATGTTGCATCTGGTATTCAAGGATACAACACGAGCTTCAATCCAACCAGAAGAGCTTTAGATAGAGCAGACAATGAATTTGAACTGATCGGACCCAAAGCCTCTTTCCATGGGTCGGCCATCAAATTGGAAGACGCTCCAAAACTTAAATTACCTGAGGTGATGTCCCGCGTAACGTTCCATGTACACTCGATCAGATCTTCTTATTTATTTAGGCCACAAATCAATCATATTGCAACTAACACCTTGCAACAGCTGTTTATTAAAGAAAAAATTATAAGTAAATCCCTTAGTCTGTAATCTTGGAAAGCGGGGAATTGAGTCTTTTCTTTGTGGCTAGGGTTGGAAGGGAGGGGGGGGTGCAGGGGAAGAAGATGAAATTGATGATTGCCAGTCCATTCCAAATCTTAGCAGGAAATAGTGGAACCATTTTATTTAAATAATCTAACTTATTTTACAACTAGTATATAAATAACTCTTGTTTTATTTCATGTGCCAACAGGTTGCTTTTATTGGAAGAACAAGTGTTGGTAAATCATCTCTCATAAATGCAATCTTGAACAGGAAAAAGTTTGTGAAGACATCAAAGAAGCCAGTATGTCTTTTTAAACCTACTTATATATTCACTGTCTGTTTTCTGAGGGTGTTAGCATGAGTATTGATTCAGCGTCTACAAAAGTAAGGGAACAATTCCACACCCTACCTTTAGTAGGTATTGCTAGCTGCTAATTAAAGAGGTCTAAATACTGTAGGCCTTGGTGGCTTCTTGTGCAATGCCTACCTCCGCTTCTGTTTCCCTACCAATCTGGAAGGAGAATCGATGCCATAGTGTGCTTCAATAAGTCATCAATGCAGAATGGGACAAGGAACCCATTGTTCTGCTTGTGTTTTTACCTCATTCCTGTCATTCATAGATCTTCCAACTATATCTAGAGGAAAAATACAGACTCAAAACAAATTATTTGAACAGCTGTTCATTGTTTTGAGCCAACTAATTTCAAGTGGCTGTTACACTTTGAGGACATCTTTTTTTTGCTATTACTTCTGTTTTAAACTTTAAATCCCTCTATTTTCAGGGACACACAAGACTTGTTAACTTTTTCAACATCAATTCAAAAATGTACCTAGTGGATCTTCCTGGCTATGGATATGTGGAGGGTCTGGGAAGCAAGCGAGGAACTGAACACTTTGTCAAAGTTGCAGAGACTTACCTGAGAGAACGAGCTGGAAAAGAGTAAGTTAAATGAGATAATTGGCATGTAATATCAACTGTTGAGAATCAATGGTTCTTGGGGTTTACTGCTCTTGACCTGTGTAAACTTTGTAAGAGCAATGTGTGCTTAACAACTCATCACAAGTGGGTGAAAGAGGAACATTCAGATTTTATTAACCATTTAAACCCTCAGAGTGACCAGCATCCAGTTTCTCCCTACAATAGTACTACTGAATCATCCATTTAAGATCATGAGAATAAAGAAAATGATCACCAACTAAAGAAGCTCTTGATTGTTAAACAAATCCTCCTCGACAACACCTTAGGAAATGTATAGAGAACAGTATGGAGAATATGCATACTGATGTTAGGGTGTAAAGGGTTGAGATAATTCAAACAATGATTTGTTTCCAATTTCAAAGTTTGATATTAGTCTATCTTCTAAGGTGGACTCTCTGTTGAGCTTGGTCATTGCTCTCTAATTGTGTAAATGTCCAGGTTAAAATTGTCCTGTGCAGATAGCTATTAGTCTATCTGCGTAGCTAGATATTAGTCTATCTTTTAAGGTGGATTCTCTGTTGAGCTTGGTCATTGCTTTCTAATTGTGTAAATGTCCAGGTTAAAATTGTCCTGTGCAGAGATAGAACAGGAAAAAAGTTTAATTTTGAGTATAACAATGATTTTAAACATCTGTTACTGACAGGAAAAACAGGTTTTCTTGTAGGGATTTGATCTTCTGGCTTCCTGAATGATTTTTCAGTCAATGCATAGATACACAGAACAACTTACCCCTTTAAGTTCCATAAGTGATTGACATTTTACTTCTCCCTATAATATCCATAGATTATCAAGCACACAGGTAATGAGAATATTCAAACCTATCAGATGAAAGTTATGTTGATCCAACACCATATTGTAATAACTAATTTATTGGGAAATGTGTTGCAGCTAGAGGGGAGAATTAACAATCAGATCTTGGGAGTTGAAGGGTTAAACTTTAAGATATAGGTGAAATAAATCCAGCCCTCTGGTAACTTGCAATTTTATTGCCAGGTTAAGAAGTGTTTGTCTTCTGATTGATGGGAAAGTTGGAGTGAAAAAAAGTGATCTCATAGCATTTGAAATGATGGGAGAGTTTGGTGGTCCTTTTCAAGTAAGTTAGCTCACTGCTGTTTATGTAATAGATTTAACAATGGACCAAAGATTATTTTCATTGACAGCCAAACATTTAAAGAATAAGGGTATGGCCAATGATATTTGCAGTTGTGGGAAATGGTATTTTGTTTTATATGTGTCATATTTTTAATTTTTAAATTTTCATAGCTCTTGTAACATTGTTGTTTAGGTGATTTTGACAAAAATGGACAAGCTTCCCAAGCCAAGACACCAGGCAGTCATTGAAGAAGTCTACAAAATCAAAGAAAAGTTTTCACTAGACAATTGCTTTCCTCATGTATTTGCTGTAAGGTGAGATGACATATGAAAAAAAGACAATTACTGCAGTGGTAAGATGTTGGAAGGTTGTGCTGTTGCCTTTAGAGTTTAAGTAGGAGTCATCAGTAGATGAGCTACAAGAGGCAAATTTTTATTTTTTGGTTCTGCTGTCTTCATTTTCATGAAACTCATGCAACAGAACAGTACTGAAAACAAATGATTATGTCATAGGTTAGTAGGTTGACTTGGTTTACCACTCTCTTATGAAAGTCTGTTTGTGGGATTAAAGTGTTTTTGCAGAATAAAAGTTTTTTTTAATAGAGTGGAAATCTTTTTGCAGGCAATCTAGATTTCTGAGACCAGAGCCATCGAGCATCCACCACCTCTTTTGAGAGCTCATTTTTACAAGTAGGCAACCAGTCATTTGCAGACACAACTCCATAGATCGGGGGAGTGAATTAACCCTTCAAATCCTAAGAGTAACCAGCATCTACTTTCTCCTTACAGTGACACTGCTGAATTGTTAATTTTGATCATGAGAATAAAGGAAATGATCTGCAACCTAAGAAGCTTGGATTGCAACATGAATTATCCTTGGCAATTAAAGAAAATTTAAGAGAGGAGTATGGAGACTTTAGATACTGAAGTTGAGGTGTAGAAGGTTAACAACTTCCAATTTATTTTTCAGTTCTACAGAAAAGACAGGATTATCAGAATTGAGATATTTCATCAGTCTAAATGTGGGCTTAAAAAATAGCGAAAATTGGTGAACAAAACCAAGCCAACGAATGGAGGACTATCAGATGTACCTGTCAGAGGAGCAATCTTCTATTCATGAAGTTGTTGTATCGAAAAAGTGCATCATCCATAAAGACATAATAAAATAGATAAAAATTAATGAGGATTAAAGCAGAGCCACCACATGCTCTTGGGTTACAATGAGGAAAAGTAAAAGGAAGCAGTGCATTGAAATATTTGTACGCCAGTGGATGAATAATTTAGGGATGAACAAAAGGAATAATCTTAAAAGGGGTAATAATCTTAAAAGGGGTATCCCGTTGAGTGTAGCTTGCAGAACATGTGCCATTTTTTTGCGTTTTTTTTTTTTCTTTTTTTTTTTTTTTTTTTCAGGCAAGTGGAAGCGAGACACCCGGCTCGCACTCGCTTCCACTTGCCTCACACCTCTCACTGGCCCTGTCTCGTCTGAAAAACGCAAAAACACGGCCCCTGTCCAGGAGGGTAACCGAAATGGGCTTACAAAAAGACAAAGGTTTTGTGCACCAAAAATTTGTTCATAATTTCATCATAAAAAAAAAAAAAACAAGAAAAGCACTACGCGACTAGTTCTCGTCAAAGCCTCGAAAATAATATCAATGAGAATAATCAAGGCTCGTTAAACACATTCCATACAAAACATACTTTAATCAGCATTCGTTAACGGTGGCGCTCATTTTCTACTAATATAACTTTGTTGTTGTATTTTGCGAGTGGAAGTCATTTTAATAATACCAGATTAAGATCGTATAAAAACGAACCCAGGTTGGTCCCCAGGTTAATGTCCTCCGTCGATTAAAAAAAACAAAAATAAAGAACAATTACAGATACTAAAGGACTATGACCAATGAAAACGTTGAGAATTAGTAACACGAGAGAGATATAACGTAATAATGAAAACGTATGGGAAAAGAGCTTTAAAACCCTTGAAAATCGTTATTGAAGTTTTCAATAGATAAATACTGTCCTTATTTCGTCTTCACAGAAAACTCAATAAAGTTATTAAAAAAAACTCTGAACTCGTCTAAAAGCATCTTCTGCATGTAACATGTCTTTCTGAGTCAAACCTCTTTCTCTCAAACAATCAACTAAAAACACGCTACTGCTATATACACCTTCCACTCACACTTGGCTTGATAATTTCAAGCCTTATTTCAATAAATAAATAAAATGTTCCCTAAAAAATAACGTCTTCTCTCTCTCTATCAAACGTACTCTTCGTCCTTGTTCTTTGCAACATTCGTAGAATCTTTCAGTTGTGCAATGTCTTTATACACTCCTCGAAGATTGTGATACCTCAATCCCCAGTTCAACACATCGTCCCAGTTGAATAAGTCTTTCTTGCCATTCGTTGGTTTATTATTTAAAGCGTTTGGTAAAATTTCATCATCACTCAGATTTAAAGTACTTAACGATCCTCGGTTTGACGCTCGTCCCTCGTTCGGCTTTCTCCTCGGAGTACTCTCGTTCTCCTTCGCATCTCCATTGACCAGCTTAGAGAATATCATACTACCTCGTTCATTCTCATCTCGGCTAGGTTCATCGTTGTCGTATTCAAACTCGCTACACGTAAAAGTATCATCGGAACTCTCACTTGAAGTGTCGGGAACTTCGAGAACGCTCGACAACTTATCGATTGTCGGGGCGTCTTCGTCACTAACTGAGGACACTGCATCAAGTAAGCTTCCCGATGGTGCTTGCTTTCGAAGTCTCTCGATCTCTACTGCTGATAATCCCCGTGGCTCTTGGCGGTTCAACGAATGGTCTTTGAAAGTATTAGGATCATATTGGTAAGACACTTCACTGTAGCCGAGGCTCGCTACTTCAATATCGTAGTGTTCAAGTCTTTCAGAGTTGTTATCGTCCGACCTGTGACCGGCATCGGAGAGGTCCGCAGGTTCGTCGCTGCTCGAAGAACCCAGCGAACCTTTCCGAAAGCGTCTCGAAGATTTCGTTGGCTGTGTGGTTGGCACGCGCAATCTCGGATCCAGGATACTTCTGGATAGCGGTTGCCGCTTGTCCGTGCCATGCCTAAAGTGAGGGTTCGGAATTTTCCGCTCGCGATTCCTTGATCGAATATTTGTCGGTGCCGACCGTAAGTGCTCCTTTTCCAATGGCGTACTTCGATGATTAGGGGTTCGTGACAGCCTTGAGATATCTCCTAGATCAGCAGGCACCTCCTTCAAGGCCACGTCATTGCGCATGATAAATTCCCCGTCGGATTCAGAAAATCCTGGGTCGATTTTCTCCTGGGATCTCGTAAGTTTGATCTGATAATCCTCAGGGGCTCCGACGTTGTGTATCACAATGTCCTTGCCATTCTGAAGGGTAGCCGGTCGCAAATCGGTCAACGACTTCTGACTCGGATTACGAATGACTACACCGCTGTCATCGCTGCTGTGCGAGGGAGATGTTCTCTGGGAAGCATCCTGCACATCTGCAGCCACTTCAGCCCCGGTGACAGCCGCGTCAAAACCCTCTGCTACCGTCTTGTCGTTAGCCTTTTGTCGCCGTCGATACCGACGAGCTAAAATCACTGCTACAATGATAAGTATTACCAACACTGCAAAAAAAGCTATAGCTGCGATAACTCCAGTGCTTAGCGACTTGTCATCACCATCTTCGCCTCTTTCACCTGGGGTTGCAGTGCAAGCTCCGATCTCTCCGTTGCACATACAAGTGTAGTTACCGTCCTTCTGCGGCTGGCAGGTCCCATTCCCCCGGCACGGATTCGGTTTACACTGCTTGTCGCTGATACAGGTTGCTAGTTCCCATTCTTCGAAGCAGTAAGGTTTACTGGGGTCTGTGCAGATGACAGAGGAGCAGAAACCGCCGCCATCGCACCCCTCGCCAACTGAACCGCCTTGAGAAGAAATTGCAGCGAACTTGTTGGGTCCCGAGAACGACACGTGTAAACCGTCGATGTTTAGGTCTTCCATGCAACCGGAGAAATTTGCCAAGTTCAAGCCCGACATAGACGAATCGTAACCACCAAGGAACCAGATCCTTATGTTCTTACCAAGAAAATCGTGTGCTGAACTTTCGAATGACTTTGGATGAATATTACCGTCTAGCGTGACCGTCACGCTCTTATCAATATGAAGGACAGTAACATTATGCCATTCGCCATCAGAAACAGTGGAAGATTTGACTTCAAAGCTTGCGATGTTACCCCCATTTCCGAAGCTGTACTTGAGATTTCCAGATTTAATCTTCAAGAAAGTAACAAAAAATATCGGCGTAAATAAGGGCTGAGTGTTTTCAAGCAAGAAGTAAACAAAGCAATGCTATACTTTGCTAAAAAAAATTACTGCAGGGACGCCGCCATTTATAAAAAAAAAACGTAGTACCGTGGAAGAACTCGCAAACCTATAACTCACGATCTTCAAACTGCTGCCCTTCATGTAAAAACACAACCAGAAGCTATGCGAAACAGTGGGAACGCAGTCAATTGCCAGCATGGGAGGATACCGGAAAAGTGATTTCAAACGAGCTCTTTAAAAAGGAAACTTATTATTAGTTAAAAAACTGATTAGTAACTCTACAGAGGTACGAAAGAACTTCATTGCGAACTACGGACGAAGAAATTTAAACGGCAACAAGCGCATAACAGTGTATGACATAGGTGTAGGCGGCTTTTATGCTAATTGGAGTTAGGTACCTTGTTAGAAAGTTCTCATTCAATGGGGAAAAATAAAAAAATGTTCAATCAAAGTCATTGCCGATAGAAAATTAGCTTACCTCCAACACAGTGTAGCCAGAGGACACAGTCGTGGTTGAATCACTGGCGAGAAGGAGAAGGCTGTTCATGTTCCGAGTGCGGAATCTGAATGAAAACTGTTCCTGGTTGGAGGACACTGTTCTTCTTCTCCGAGAGGAGATTCCTTCTTTTTCTTTTCGCTGCTGCTCGCGACGGTAACTGTCCTTAAACTGCAGCACTAGGAAGCTATCCGAGCTAAATTTCACTGGTTGTACCACTGTAATAAAGAAGAAAAACGAACAATTGAAATCGATAAACAATGAACTAACAATAACTTTTCCTTTCTCTCACTGCCTTGCGAAAATATTTCCACAATTGTGTCGGATTGTAGTTCACAAATAATCGCCAGGATGAACTGGGTTTCCAATAAATGTAAGGAAAGCCCCTACCATACAATGAGGCTTAGCCCTAGAGAGGCACTGAAAATGGTAGCGTAGGAGACGAAAACTAAGAAAATACTAACCACTCAAAAATTCACATTTTTTTGTGTTTTCGTTACTTGCGTAATAAGAGATTCTTTTCCAGAACAATCACACCAACCTTTTTCGCAGTTCCTTCCACTAAATCCTTTCGGACATTCACACACGTACTCAAACCAATAATCAACACACGTCCCCCCATTCTCGCATGGGTTTGCAGCACACTGGTCTAACCGCGGACAGCTGTCAATGATGCCACCGGACTCCGTGGCAGCACTTGGCTCCAGTTTCTTGCCGTTGATGAACACATTCCGCATACAGCCAAGAAAATCATCAGTCTGAATGTGTTTGCCCGGGTGATCCAGGGACTGATCGAAGTCTTTTATACCACCAAGAAACAACGGCGAGTTGTTCAAGTCTAGTTTCCTTCGAGGCAAAAAGATCACCAGTTAAAATCCGATAAAAATGTCTGCAATTAAGCCAAATGACCTTCCAACCGCAGTTTATCCTGGTTTCTGTAACAAGGAGCAACTACGAATATTAATGCTCCCCCTGGATGCCACTCCACCGCAGGTTACCCCCACCCCTCCCCCTGTATTTTGTCAGGCTGCTCTAAAATTTTGCTGGTACCCAGTCACACTCCTGCGCGGAGGGAGGCACTGTAATAGTTAACTGTTTTCCCAAATAACAAAACACCATGACCAAGCCAGATCTCTAACCTTGAACTCTCGACTCGGAGTCCATACCGCTGGCCGACAGGCCATTGCGTTTATGACGAGCATTCGCTAAGCTTGTGGCCAAATATATTGTCAGAGATTAACTTAAATCTTCAATAAGCACCGCATGCTCGTACAATCTCTTTCTGAGAAATTTTTCCTTTAGAAATACTTACTCTAGTTGTCCATCGGAAACCACGGACACTGTGCGGGACGAATCAACAGTGACTTCACCTTCCTAGATGGGTTTAAACAAATGTCGGTTTAAACATGTTAACTACAACGCAAACACACAAGAAGAATGAATGCGCGAGGAGTGTTTCTTTGTCTCCTGTAGAATCACGAATTTCTCGCGCTTCTTAAAAAGAGTTCTTTTATAATTATCGTACTGACACCATCAGGTGATCTGCGTATAGATTTTTCTCTGAATGGTGAAATTCGTTTCGCACACAATGTTGGAAATGAAAAAGGCAAACTGTGGTAGTTCGCAGGTCCAACACTAAAACATAATTCTCTTGACTGATCGCCACATATTGACAATAAATTAGTGCTGAGACTTTGTCATCTCATCAGCCATACGTCTTGGGGTCTTAGTTGATTATTTGGGTTATTCTCAGCACATGTCTTCGGTTCAATGTACTGGTATAGTGAGGAGAAAGTATATTTTGAGCACTCAAGCAACCGGCACATACCTTCCTGTTTCTTATAATTGTAACTGTGTGCCATTGTCCGTCGTCCACAGACTGACCAGCTTCCACCGCAACTGCGCTCCTGGAATACCCGAGATTAAACGACATCTGTATCTTACCACGGAGGATCTGTATGGCGATGAAATCGGAATCCAAGCTGTTCTTTCCGTCCGAGTTGTAGAGTAACAGCCCTTCGCTCTTGGAGGTAGAAAACTCAATAGTGATGTTATTAAACTTTCCTTGCTGTTGGCTACTAAGGGTTGGCAGTTTTAAATACGACACAGATTGAAAGCCAATACAGGGGCACCGACAAGCCTTCCCAGAGGCGCAAGTGCACTTAGGCGGGGACCAACTTGAAGGCGAGGACACTCGACAGAAATCGTACCCAGACGAACAGTTCTTTCCCAAGTAACCAGGCTTACAATGGCACTGGTAACTTCCAGCCAGATTTTCGCAGTGTCCGTTGTTCTTGCACGGCTTATTGGCACACTCATTGATGTCACTGGCGCAAGTGGGTCCATTAAATCCAGCTGGACACAAACATTTGAACGAGTGGTCCCTATCCAAGCAGGTAGCTCCATTCTTGCATGGTTTGGAGCTGCAGCCTTTCACGCTGATCTCACACCTCTCTCCTTTGTAACCCGGTTTGCACACGCAGGTAAAGCGCCAGTCATAATCCACAGACAAGAACACCACAGGCACTGAGGTCAATGTGCTCGTTGTTCCTCGAGTTTGAATGTAACTTGTGCACTCGCCGCCATTTTGGCATGGACTGTGAGCAGTGCAGGGAGTGTAGTCGACCTGTTGGATTTGTACTTTACCATTTCTCTCTATATCAGGTTTGTTTTGGCTTAGCAGGTCAGAGAGAGTCTCTCGTACCATGTACAGACCGCCATGTGCTTTTTTCACAGCAATCGACAAATCGACAAAATCGCCTGCAATTGACTTCACACTGAATAGCTGAGAGACATGGCCGGCTGGAAGAATGCGGTTGATGGCATCTATGAACTTCTGATAGGATTGTGCAAGGAAAGTTTCTGGAGATGAATTCATCACTCGCACCGTTACACTGTTGTTGATGGTTAACGAGTTGTAGGCGACAAAACGCACTTTAACATTGTATTCAACAGCAGATCTTCCATCAGATCCGTTCACCATTATGTCCAGTTCAGCACTTCCGTCGTATCTCTTGTTTGTACCCAGTGTACAGCTTCCCGGAGTGAATCTAAACAATCCTTCGCTATCCCGGATGATCTTGCAGGTCAGTTTGTCGTCAACATCCGGGTCATTAGGTGGGACGTTAGCTACTAGCCCCGATGCAAAGCTGTTAAAGCTATTCACATGCACAACACGTGAGGTTGCCTGGGGTGGATTGTCATTCACATCCTGGACAAGCATCTGACATTGTGACACAGCCTGGAGCCTCGGAATACCACTGTCCGTGATCCTGATCGACAAATTGAAGGAAGAAATCTTTTCGCGGTCCAGCTCAGCTGTGGTTGTGATCTCACCACTACTACTGCTCACTTGGAACTTTCCATAGTCAGCACCATTGATAGCAAAAGCGTATGGTCCTCGATTTGGAGCAATATCTCGATCGTGAGCCTGCAGTGTCACCACTGTGGTACCAGCGGGTTGGTTTTCCTTGATCATACCCGTGCAGTTTGAAAATAAGCGTGGCGCATTATCGTTGATGTCATCAACCTTGACATTGACAGTAGCGTTGCCTGACATGGGCGGCCGCCCTTGGTCTGTAGCACTTACAGTCAAACGGTAGTGAGCAATAGTTTCTCTGTCTAACTTCCTTGCTGTTGTTATCGCACCAGTGGTTTTATCGATTTCAAAAGCATTTCCAGTATTACCAGCCACAATTCCATATGTTATCCCTGTCGGCTGCTTGGTTATATCATCGTCTACAGCAGTGACACTGGTAACAAGTTGACCGGCAATTTGTTCTTCCGTCACTCGGGCGTTATATACAATTTGCAGAAACCGGGGAGCATCATTAGCGTCCGTGACAGTTACGATTACAGTTGACAGATCGCTGGTATTAGGTGTCACACTCGTTTGTAACGCGTTCTTGACGAGAATACGAAGAGTGACGACACCAGCTTTCTCATTGTCCAAGCCTCCTGAGACACTTAAAACCCCGGTTGATCTGTCGAGCTTGAATCCCTGGTCTTTACTTTCACCGACCAGTAGAAACACAATTTCACCATCGGGTCCTTTGTCCAGGTCAGTGGCGTATATCTGTGTCACAGACTGCCCAACCGGTGCGTTCTCGGCCACAGAAGCCGTAAACAATGACTTGTTAAACTTGGGTGTGAATTCATTAACACTAGTGACGTGAATGAAAACTTTGGCCATTGGTTGTGAGATTAATGATGGTGTACCCCGATCTTTGGCCATGATGGTCAACTCGTACAGCCGTTGCACTTCATAGTCGAAGATAACCTTGCTCTTTATTTCCCCGCTTCCTGAATTTATTTCAAACGAGCCCAGTAATGCGGTGTTGGAGATGCTGTACTCAACCTGTCCGCTGTCACCAGTATCAGGATCTCGTGCCGTAACAGTAATTATCAGCTTCCCAGGAGCTGTATTCTCGGGTGTATATCCGTGGTATTCCTCAGGTGTGAAGACTGGTCGGTTATCATTTGCGTCTAAGATTGTTATTTGAACAGTGTGCTTGTCTGTGCGGGCAATTTTCCCTCCGTCAGAAGCCACAACCGAAAGTAAAAATGTTTTGTGAACTTCATAATCCAGCGTCTTTATCACATAGATTGACCCGTTCTTACGACCAATTCCAAAGAATCCCGGCGGATTACTGCTGTCGATGTGATAGGATACTTGACCATTCGTTCCGGTATCCTGGTCTTTGGCTTCAACTTTGACAACTTCATCCCCAACAGCCTTTGTTTCCGATATGGAAAGAACAGTCTGGCCAGGTGAAAATTTTGGAGCGAAGGCATTGACTTCGACAACTTCCACGTAGACGTTGGTAAAACTTTCCTGAACTGGCTTTCCTAAGTCTTGAGCTCTGACCCTTACGTGGTATAAACCTAGGACATTTAACGTTCCACCCACGGTAACATTCCCACTATCTGCATCTATGTTGAATAATGATGTACCGTTTCCACTGACTGCCTCGTAACGTACACGCGCATTGGCACCGTCATCCCGATTATCGACCGCTTGCACCTGACCAACCGTCTCGCCGGCCGTTGAACGAACAACGGCGAATAACACATACGATGAAGACTCGAACACCGGAGCATGGTCATTGATATCGGTCACCTCAATCACAACATTAACTGTTTTCTCGTGGAATGGCGCATACGGATTCCATGATTTTACTGTCAAATTATAGAAGTTATTATTTCCAGAAGCACTTGGCTTGTGGTATATTAGTTCTCTGTAAAGGCGAAGAACACCCGTCTGGCGGTCAATTGTGAATGCATCGCTTGCAGGTGACGGACGAATCGAGTACAAAATCTCAGCGTTGGTGCCTAAGTCGTCATCAGTTGCACTCACATTCAAAGCCGGTGCTCCAACTGCAAACTTTTCGGGGATTTGGTGAGTCACAGGATCTGAGATGAATCTTGGAGGGTTGTCATTTACATCTAAAACAGTCACAGTGAAGTTGGACATGGTTATGTGTTGTGAGTCACTCACTCTGACTTGTAGAGTGTAGTGGGATTGTTTCTCCCGATCTAAATTCTTGCCCAGAGTCAATCTACCGCTGTATGTATCAAGACCAAAAGTATTGCCTGGATTTCCACCGGCAGTGAATCTAAACTGCAAACGAGTGCTGACCTGAGTGGTGTCGGCATCGTGAGCCTTAAGCAATGCCACCAAGCTTCCTACAGTGGTATTCTCGTAAACAGATGCAGTCAGAGGATCTTCAAAAACAGGGATGTTGTCATTAATATCTTGTACGTTAATTATCACAGCGGCTTCGCTTGCCAAGGATTTGTTTGCCACGTCTTCAGCGCGAACCATAAAAGTGTATGAAGAGATATTTTCACGATCGAGTTGGATTTTAGTGGAGACACGCCCGTTCTTGGCTGAAATTTTAAAAGCTGAACTAGCCTGCATGTTACCCGGGACCAATTTATATTCCACCTTGGCAAAAGCCAAGGAATCTGCATCAGAGGCCGATACCCACAGCACTGTTGTATTTATTGGAAGTTCCTCGCGAATGTCCGCTCGATAAATGTTCTTACTGAACACGGGGAAGTTGTCATTTTCGTCTGCGACATTTACGTGAATTTTCACAAAACCTGAAAGTGGTTGGCTGCCAGATGCCTTTGCACCGACGATCAAAGTGTAGTTTGTCCGTTCCTCGTAATCCAAAGGTGACTTGATGGTTACGTCTCCACCAAGTTTGCCAACTTCAAAAGCATCTCCAATGTTCCCTGCGGCGATAAAATACATGATGTGACCGGTGGCATTTACAGTTACCAATTCAGTGCCCACTGGTGCATGCTCAGAGACTGTTATCGTCTGGTCCAGGTGTTGAAATACTGGTATTGTTCCTGTCGCCACATCAATTTGGACTTTAGTAGACGCAGAGCGTTGGGGAGCGTTGACATTAGTAGCTTTTATACCAAAGGTATATGAAGAAGGACTTTGGGGAACGTTTTGAGCCACTGAGACAATACCTGTCTTGGGTGCGAGATTGAAGACCTGAGAAAAACCACTCGTTATCGTGTACTCTGTTTCCGCGTTAGGGCCTATATCTTGATCCGTAGCAGACACCATCATGATAAAAGTACCTGGAGGGGCTCCTGGTGCTACTGTAGCTGTGTACAGATTGGAATCAAATATTGGATCATTGTCGTTCTCATCTTCAACGGTAAGATGTAACCACGCTTTCCCTTCTCGACTTGCAATCCCTCCATCAGTGGCGAGCACTTCGAGCTCAAACTCTGGGTTAAGTTCGCGATTGAGGCGAGCGGTGGGTTTGGTTGTTATTTCCCCAGTATCACGGTCAATCTCAAACCACTCAAAACTCTTGGACAGAGAGTACATAATTTTTCCGTTGATACCCGTATCAGCATCCGTTGCAGTCACTTGGAACACACTTGTACCTGCGGGAGCATTTTCTTTTACTGAAGCTCTCAGTTTGTCGGGACTAAACACGGGAGAATTGTCATTTTCGTCATCTACTTTTACGATGAGTTCAGTCTCTCCTACCCGGGAAGGAGACCCTCCATCTTTAGCCTGGACTCTCAGTTTATACTCTTCCTGCTCCTCTCTATCCAAAGAGACCCTGAGTCCTATTTGGCCAGTGTTGCTGTTGACAGTAAAGACACCACGTTCGTTACCTTGGACGATACTGTAAGTTACACTGCCGTCTCTGCCTTCGTCATCGTCCACTGCCCTTAAAATGATTACATTGCTTTGTAGCTGGTTTTCAGTAACATGTCTCGTGTAAGAAGGTTCAGAGAAGGTGGGCGTGTTGTCATTGACGTCGCGCAAGAAAATCGCCAAATCTCGGTCTGCAAACATGGACGGCACTCCTCGATCAGATGCTCGCACGACAACTGTGTAATTGGGTGTGGTCTCTCTGTCTAGGGACCGAATGGTGCGGAGGATCCCATTTCTGGGATTTATCTCAAAGCTTCCATCTCCACGTCCTGCCACGACACTGAACGTCACTTCTGCATTGCTTCCTTCGTCGTCATCTGTGGCTGAAAAGCGGGCAACTTCACTTCCTATTGAAATGTTCTCATAAACATGCACTTCAGGTGGACTAGGCTTAAAGACCGGTGCATGATCATTGTAGTCATCAACTATCACAGTCATCTCAAATTCTGCGCGCTTTGCTGGAACACCCATGTCAGTTGCAACCAATTTTATTACGTATTCCTCTTGAATTTCGCGATCCAACATTCCAGCGACTCGCAGCACACCATCACTCGAACCTATAGTAAAGGGAACCAGACCATTATTGGCGAGACTGAAGCTAACCTCGCTATTACTTCCAGCGTCCAGATCGACTACGAGAACAGTTGTGACAACATCACCCGTTGAAGCATGCTCAGACACATGACTGATATTACTGGATATAAAGTAAGGGATGTTGTCGTTGATATCACCAATATCCACCGTCACGGTAGCTGTGCTGGAAAGTTGTGCCGAAATTGGAACTGCTTTGTCTCTGGCCAGGATGGTGAGAAAGTAAGAGCTCTTCTTTTCACGGTCGAATTCTTTAAGGTTGTAGATAGTGCCATTGGGATGAATAGAAAAGGTGCGGTCATCATCTCCTGACAGAATTGTGTATGTAAGAAGTGCATTGGAGCCAAAATCTTTATCAGTAGCTGTAACAGTCAAAATATTGCAGTGGATTCCAGTAGCTTCTGAGACACTCACAGAATATGAACTTGGATTAAATTGTGGAGCATTGTCATTTTTGTCCAGGATATTCACATAAACTTCAGTGTAAGCAAACAAAGATGGGTCACCTTGATCACTGGCTGAAATATTCAGGATATAGATTTCAACTTCCTCTCTGTCAAGCCATTTTGCAACCTTTAAATTGCCACTGATTGGCTCCACTGAAAACACATCCTTGTGGTTACCTGTTAGGCTGTATCTGATTCTCCCATTTGATCCACTGTCACGGTCTGAGGCGCTGACTGTCCCAAAGATTATGCCGACCGCTGTCTCCTCCTGAACATTAAATGAATAGAAATGACGGGAAAATTGTGGCGTATAGTTGTTAGCAGGAAGCACTGTCACTACAACACTGCAGCTTGAGAACCGTTTAGGTGATCCACCATCTGTTGCATTCACAGTTAACCTGTACACAGCTTTGGAACTCTGGTTAAGTAGTCTAACGGCGGTTAGAACACCAGTTAAGCCATTTATCTGAAATACATTACCATCATTACCACTAACGATGGAATACGTAACCTTCGCATTTGAGCCAACATCTTCGTCGAGAGCAAAGACAGTAGTAACACTGACACCCGGTGACGTGTATGCCTTTACACTTGATCTGTAAACATTTGACACAAATACGGGGCTGTTGTCATTAGTATCATTCAGATAAATGTCAACTGTGACATTTCCAGTCTTAGGGTTTTGTCCCGTCAAATCAACTGCAAATACAGTCAGCGAAAAAAGCGAGGTAGAAAAACCCTCACGATCAAGCTCGAAGGCAGTTGTGATTTCGCCATTGTCAGGATTTAAGAGAAATGAACCATTGCTGGAGTCAGAGGCGATGTAGTACTTGATCTGTGATCCAGGAGCAACTGCTTTGACTTTAGTCACAGATGTCCCGTTGCTGGCATTTTCTAACACAGAGGTGCTATAGACTGCCTGGCTGAAGGCAAGGTTACTGTTTGGTCCTCCTTCCTTGAACACTGTTACTACAGCATCTGTGCTACGAGATGGTGATCCACCATCTGTTGCTGTTACTGTAAAGTGGAACACATTCTTTGAAGGTAACCTAGATCTCATGGATAACTTTCCTGTGGTGATATTCACTTGGAAAATATTGTCGACATCTGGCGTGATTTTGTAGGTCACCAAACCATTTGTTCCAGAATCCTTATCATAGGCTGACAGAGTTGCTATCACATCATTGGGAGCTTCATCACCCTTCACTACAACAGCTGGTGCAGTCACAAACCTGGGATTATTGTCATTCACATCCTCTACAACAACAGTGACCTCTTTCGTTGCAGAAAGCTGCATCGGAGCATTTGCATTATCTATTGCCCTGATTACAAGTTTGTAGAGGCTGGTGTGTTCACGGTCAAGTTCTCGTTTTGTGGTAATCACACAGGTGTACGGGTCTATCTCAAATGCCATTTCTTCCGTAGGTGTTTGGCTATCAATGCTGAATGTTATGCGGCCACGTTCCCCACTGTCCTCATCAGTTGCTGAGCACTGTCCAATCTGCTCCCCAGCATTGACATTTTCTTGAACTCTGATAGTATTTATTTTATCAACAAACACAGGAGCTTCATTGTCATCAAGGACATTCACTGAAATTTTTGACATTGCAGACTGGGGTGGATTCCCACGATCAACTGCCGTAATGTTCAGGGTGTAACTCCTGGTTCTTTCAAAGTTCAGAGACTTAGTAAGAAACAACTCCCCTGTCAAGTGGTTGATATCAAAGACAGCCTCTAAATTCCCAGAAGCAATGGCGTAGGCAATCTCAGAGTTGACCCCTATATCTCTATCAGTTGCCTGAACAACGGCTATTTGAGAAGATACGGGCAAACTCTCAGAAACATTCACTGTGGCAAACTCCTCCGTGAAGTTGGGCTTGTTGTCATTAGCATCACCAACAATAACTTCAAGATGCTTTTGAGAGAACAAGGAGGCATCTGCAATATCTGTGGCCTGCACAGTTAGACTGTAATGATCTATGTTTTCTCTGTCAAGTGAGCTGTTCAGGAATAGATTCCCACTAGGTGGGTCGATCCAAAACACTTCGGATTTGGGTTCATCCACAATAGAGAAATTAAACTTAGCATTATCTCCTTCGTCAGGGTCAGAAGCTATCACTCTGTAAACAACTCCTAATCCAGAAAACTCTTGGACTGTGATATAAGCCACTGAACGGCGAAACTCTGGAGGACTATCATTCTGGTCCTTAACAGTCACAACCACTACTGCAGAATCTTGCTTGAGTGATGTGTCACTGTATTCTGCCTTTACCAGGAAAGTCAACACATTCCTTCCACTTTGAGCAACTAGCTCTTCACGATCAAACATTCCTCTTGTGAAGATTCGTCCTGTATCGGAGTCCACCACAAAATCATCATGAGCCTCAACAAGAGAAAAAGTTATTTTATTGGTTTTCAAAGAACCATCTTCGTGAAGAAGTAGGTGGCCAACAGTAGTTCCGGGAAGTTTGTTTTCAAGAATAAAAAATTCAAAAGTGTTATTAACAAATATGGCTTGATACTGTATTGAGCTCTTCACATTGATAGTCACTGTAATGGAAGCTTTGAGAGGTGGAGTTCCCATGTCAGTTGCAGAAACAGAGATGGTAGATGTGCCATTTGCTCTGCTGAGCTCCTTATTTACGAAGAGTGCACCATGAGAAGAAATTCCAAACAGTTTTTCTTCATTGCCTGTTGAATCAATTGCATAAGTTAATGCTCCATTGACACCAGGATCTGGATCAACCGCAATAACAGGAAGAAAATGTTTTCCCACAGGCAAATCCCTGGGGATATCTGCCACAAGGGATGACAACAAAAATTGTGGGGGATGATAAGTGATAATCTTCACAGTTAACATGAAGGGAGAGCGAAGTGGAGGAGCTCCTGCATCAGATGCAAACCCTTGCACAACATAATCAGAATCATCAATGTTGGTTATCTTCTTAGACAGGGAGATCACCCCTGATGTTGCATTAACCTTGAAGAGTCCATTACCATCAGTAGTCAACTGATAACGAACCAATCCATTCAGACCAGCATCTTCATCAGTAGCAGATGCCACATAAATTTGTTTGTTCACTGACCAGTTAGCATCAATGGTCACTTGAGCACTAGGAGATTTGAATACTGGCTGGTTGTCGTTTCTGTCCAGAATGTCTATCTCCACAGATGTGGTTGCTGACAAGAGATAGGCTTTTGCAATCACACTTAAGACATAGTTTGCTTTCTTTTCTCTGTCCAAAAGTCCATTGACCATAATAACTCCACCAGAACCATCCACAGTGAAATGGTGTTGTGGATCACCAGAAATGATTTCATACTGAATGCTGCTGTTGTTGTTGTTTTTTGTCGTAGCAATAACTTTTCCAACATACGTCCCAGAAGGGACATTCTCATGCACTGAAAAATTGTAGATGCTGTGCTCAAATTTAAGAGGGTCATCAGATTGTACCTGCACAGTGATCTCAACAGTGGCTGAAGTTTTTGCATAAAGACCGCCCAAGTCTTGAGCAGTGATGTTCAGCTTGTAAAAACCTTTGGTGAGAGGTGGTGATGATATAATCTCCCCTGTGGAGCTATTTATGGAGAAATTACCATTATCCCCAGCTGCAATGGCATAGATAATCTGTGCATTTGTTCCATCATCAGCATCTGTTGCCATCACCTGAGTGATAACTGTGGACTGTGCATTAGACAACACAGTTTCCACATAAGTAACAGGATAAAATACTGGATGATTATCATTATCATCATCAACATTCAAATGTATTAAAGTTGATGATGACAGTGGAGGATTTCCATGATCAGAAGCCTTCACCGGAATAGTATAGGAGCTTTTCATCTCCCGATCAAGTCTAACTTTGGTAGTAAGAACACCAGTGAGAGGATTAAGGCTGAAGGTATTCAGTACTTGTTGAGAAGCAGAATCAATTTTGTATGTCACATTCCCATTATTACCACTGTCATCATCTGTTGCATTCAATGTCATAATAACAGTTCCTGGCCTTAAATTCTCAGCTAGTTTTTCAAAGTAAGCACTCCTAGAAAAAGTTGGCTTGTTATCATTCACATCCTTAATTGTTACAGTTACCACTGTGCTGCTATTAAGAGGTGGTGATCCACTGTCCTTGGCAAGCACAGTCAGGGAAATCTGCTTGGAAACTTCTCTATCCAGAGGCGCAGCAGTGCTGATAAGACCTGAGAGTGAGTCGATTTGAAACCAATTCAAAGAATTACCGCTTAGAATCGAGTAAGAAATCTGACCATTAGAGCCTCCATCAGAATCTGAGGCTTGAACGGAGTAAACTGTACTTCCATTCTGTGCAATTTCACTAATTGATGCTTGGTAATTCAACTTGGGAAATGTTGGTACTCCATCATTCACATCAACAACAGACACCAGCACATGAGCAGATGCAGAAAGAACAGGTTTTCCTTTGTCTTTCGCAGTCACTGTGATATTGTAAGTTGCAAACATTTCACGATCTAAAGAACCCTTGGTCTGTAGTTTGTACACGGAGCCTATGCGGGCTGAAGAATAGACAAAGCTCAAAGCAAAACTACCATTTGTGTTTGAAAGAGACACCTCAAATTGGTCATTTGAAGGTTGAGGATTATCAAGATCTTGCACAACGACAGTTGCAATTTCTGTGCCACTTTTAGACGCCTCAGAAACTTGAGCATTCACATAATATATTTGTATTGTTGGTTCGTTTTCGTTGACATCCTGTATAAAGATATGTACTGTTGTCTTGTTTACATTCGCCTGTCCTTCTTCAGGTTTGTCTCTGGCGAAAACTTCGAAGATATATGACTTTTTAAGTTCGTAGTCGAGATGGTGGAGTGTCCTAATGACTCCAGAGGTGGCGTTTAATTTAAACATGCTTGCATCATTGTTCAGATTATCTACATCGTTCACGAAATAATACATTATTTCACCATTTAAGCCCTGATCCAAGTCTGTTGCAGTCACAGATAAAATCTCTACGCCAGCTGGAGTGTTTTCATCCAAGGTAGCATTGTACAAGTTACTTGTAAACACAGGTTTGTTGTCATTTAAATCCAAAATTGTAATATTCAACAAACAATAAGCATGCAGCGAAGGTCTTCCTCGATCGCTTGCAGAGATGTTCAACTCGTAAAAAGCTACATCCTCACGATCAAGTTTTCCTTGTGTGATTATACACAACAGGGAGTCATTGCATTCGGTATAATTCCTACCGAGTTTGAATTTCCCAGCTTCGTTGCCGGACACAATGGCATAGTCTATGATGGCATTTTGTCCAGCGTCCTTGTCAGTCGCTGATACTAACGAAGACTTGGTTCCAACCGCAACATTTTCCCAAAAATTAACCGGATAAACTGAAGCAGAAAACTCTGGCGAATTGTCATTGATATCGCCAACATGTACAAGCACGTCGATAAGTGTTACCGAGGACGACGAACGAACTTGCAAAGTAATCGGATTTTTGCTCAATGTCTCTCGATCGATCCGAGATGCTGTACTTATGGCACCAGTTTGAGAATTAAGCGTAAACCGCGATGGATTTCCCTCAAATGAATATGTTACTCCTGGTGAAGTATTAATGGTCCCAACAGGAGCTCCAGGTGCTAATTCTTCTTGAACTTGAAATACGTATTGTTGAGCTGAAGCAGAGTTGATTACTAGACAACAACACACAAACGTCCATAGTAGCGTTCGAATTCTGACTTTCGGTTTCCCGACGGTTTCTTTAACCATAATTTGCTGTATAAGACAATTCCGTGAGCCTTTCACTTGTCATGATAATGAAACTCGAAGAAGAGAGCCAAAGGTGAGAGCTCCCATCGCCTCAAAGTCTGGAGTCACTACAGTAGAATGATTATACAGAAACCGTTAGCGGACTTGCACTGCGTTACATTTCACGAAATACAAAAGCTTTGCCACAGTTGTTCGGCATTCTAGTCTGAACGCTTTAACAAAGTATCGGCTATTTCCAGCAATTTCACGGCATAGATTCAAACAACGATATCTTTGGCACTTCCTTCCGACTCAAAGAATGATAAAACTTGCGATTTAACCAAATATATTAGTGGCACGACTTATTTCCACTTCAACATTAGACAAAATTTATGAGAGTGAGCAAAGTCACCGATGAATAAGAAGCTGTCAATCATTACTGACGCGTAACAACCGAACAACACAAGTGGGAGGGCGCATGCTAAGGCACGTGACCAATAGATAAATTATCTAAATTCCTTACTTGTCACAAGTAAATAAACTTATTTCTAAGGAGGAAAATGTGGAATTCAAGCCTTGTTAACATTTTTATTGAGCTTCAACAAATAAATTTGCTTGTCAGCGAATTTCCCTGCACGTAATTACTCGTGAACGCGCTTTTCCGGAACTAAATAGTAGGCATTATCTGTGCATAAATCGGTTGTGTTTTGTCCCAGGGGGCGGGTGAGAACCTGAGTGCCTATCAATTTATGTCTCGCGAATGAAAAACAGTAGGCGCAAACAACTCTATTGTCACAAAAATTGAAAGATTGGATTCCCGGCGTAATGTAAGACGTATTGTGCGCCATGACCTCTACCCTCTTGAGGCCAGCGAAGAAATAAAAACATTTACTTCGAACGAGATATTTAACGCACGATGTTTAGGTCTACACAGACCACCGACCATGTAGTAGATATTACCAGTGACCTCGAGGCGATCTGTGCTCTGCATGCGCCAGCTCTGCGGACAGGCAAATATTTCTGTTCTAAAGCACTTAATAAATCAAGCTCTGAAGCAAGTATTCGGAGGGTTTAGAACTTATCACTGTTAATAAAAACAATTATTTTCAAAGAAGGAAAAATAAGCAATCTAATTGGCTAGAAATACACGTCTAGCTGGTAAATCAGATTAATTACTGATTTTCTTCCTTCCAGCGGTTTTAACCTCGCAGCGGATAATGTGCCGTGTACTCATGAAAATGCTCAATCAATCTGCTCGCTTAGGGCCAATTAACTGACGGAAACTGCTTTACTGAAGGACTGCTCACGAAAGTCACGAATAGAAATTAAATGATTCTTGATGAAATATCACACGTTAGCGTGATCAGAGCCTGGAAAACTACTGTTCAATCTCCATGGCCATCTTAAAGGCTCGTCTCGAAAACTAATCTAGTTAGAATAAACTTGGAAATTTGATAAATGCGAAACTTTCGCTCATATTATCGGCATAATCTTGTTTTTTCTTCAACTTGAGACAAAACTGACATACTCAAGTTACGCTCGACCTATACCTTTTAAACAATTGACCCACAACAAGGGGATTTTTTCGAAAAACTCTGCTGAATGAGTCCTTGGACATTTTTATTCAACACTAAAGGTAATACGCGCATACCACAAGTAACTATATAACTTTATGTATTGTTATATTGCTATACGAATCATGTTTGAGTGGCAAGAGTTCATCTGACGTCAGAATAAGATACAAATCGTATTAGTGGTTTTTTGAAAGATACCTTGCGCAATCAGTTAAATACTGTTTTCTACAGTTGGACTTTGGAGTTGCCCTTTTTAGGCTGGAAAATAAGCAGGACAATTGCCATTTAAAAGGAATGTTGAGAGATTGAAAATTCTTTCCTGTTAGCGTCAAATTTTTTTAATTGTGAATTCCAAATTTTATCACTGGCTTTGAGGCAGTTTTGAATATGTGATAGAAATTAGTAAAACGTCTATTTCTTGTTGGCGTCAAATGTTTACTTGTGAATTTCAAATTTGATCACTGGCTTTAAGGCAGATTTAAGTATGAGATAGAAATCATAAAACGTCTATTTCTTATTGGCGTCAAATGTTTACCTGTGAATTCTAAATTTTATCATTGGTTTTAAGACAGATTTGACCATGCAATAGAAATAAGCAAAGCGTCTATTTCTAGCTTAATAACTGCTGTTCAAACATAAACTGTGAACGAATATAGATGGTTTCGTTCACGTTACAGTAATTCAGTTATTTTGTTTGCTCAAGAGCTTTGATTGTTCAATGACAGTGTTTGCTTGTATTGACGGCTTACATCGACTCTTAAACGTTGATGGTTAAAACTATCAAGTATGTATGCGTCTATTCTGCTTACTTTTAGGAACGATAAAACGAAAGAGAAAAACGTTGCAAACTGAGAATTACTTTGTTTCCTTGGATTTCCGATCCTAAAGCCCGCATCTTAAATGGTCTGAAAGCCAGAGGGGAGAAGAATACTGAAAAAATCCTCCTCCTCTCCAAAGTCGATGTTAAACTATTGAAGCGTTCGCATTGGAGCCACGTGCTGTCCACGTGAGAACCAAATGCATTTTGTCCAAATCCCATCTTTTTATCGTAAGACGATACCTTTAAGAAGCAATCCCGGATTACTACAAAATAAACGTGACCTCCTCAACTATGTGTCAAGATATTTTAAAAAAGCATCAACAAGGGACACGCATGAGTTATTAACTACTTTTTTTAAATGAAAACTTCACTAGCTTCGATCCCACTTTGGTTGAGCTTTCCGTCGTAAATCATACTTCTCTCAGTGAAAATGTGAAAAGTTTGGCTGCGCGCGCGTAGTGGGCGGCGAAAGATCTCGGAATGCGCTAAGTAAGACTTTCCTTCGTCGCTATTTTTCCCACTTTGAGACTTATTTAGAGCTAAGTACCGCGAAGTCAGCTGAAATATTTCAAACTAAATGAACGACAGATTTTTCTGTGAGAAACTGAAAACTTTCGACGACCATAACTAACAAAACTGAGGAAATATTTTGCTTACCTTCAAGAGACAGATTATTTCTTAATAATGCGTGATTATTATCCAGTAACATGTAATATAATATTACGATACCTTTTTTTATCACGTGCGCTGAGTGCCTGAGGAAGTTTTTGGTTTTGAAAGTTCACGAAAACAAAACTGGATCGATGATGATTTTACTGTAGAGTCAGCGGCAAAATTGATGTCAAACACTTAAACATACCTGAGCTGAGCACAAACAAGCTGCAGTGACCTTGTATTTTCCTTAAAATGTCCCAAAACCTGATTTATAGCGAAAAAACCGAAAATGACGCAAAATACATCAACAAGTCGTCTAGTAAACTCTCTGTGATTCACATAGAACGAATATGTAATCACGCAATTGTGAATTCTCACGAATAAAACGGTGTCCGGGAGTTTACACGGCTGTCGCGTTTGCCATGTGAAGGTAGCCTAGATCTTGTAACAGAGAATGTCGACTGAGTAAGCTTGCATGACATGAGGACATATTGCTTCGTTAATCAGTTGCTTCATGTTGGTTCTGCGGTGAATGAGTTCACGACGGTTGGGCGAATGTTGCTTTCGCTGATGATAACATGCCTCGAATTCTCAGACAATTTGGTTACAGATCGGAGTTCGACCACGCGATTGGACATAATTACAAAACTGATCAATCTTACTGACAATTAAAAATATGTACTTCTGTAATCTGAACAGCTATTGATAATAAGAAAAATTAACCTGAAAATTTAATCACGGAGACATTCTGACAGAAGCTCTAATATTCCGCTTTACCAGACAGATCTTTTTTTTTTTTGGCGGTTAGGATTGTCAATAACAATGTAATTTTTTTATGCAATACTTGTATATTGATTATAGCCAGGAGGCTATAACTGGGAAGACAGGATGTTTAGTTCAGAGGTTTTTCTTTTCTTTGTCAAAAATTATTTTTTTTATGAGGTTAAAGTTGTTCATACGAAAATCATACATCGACCGAGTTTGAGGCGTCGAGCATTTATTGTCACAAAGAAGTTTACGGAAACGAATCCTCTTGACTATTTATTTATAAAGTAATCATGGTGTCTACAGTTTAAATAAGATAGACAGTTGTATACATCCAATATAGTAAGCTGTTATGTAATATTAACGGTCTGTCGCCAGTATATTTGCCTTGAGATACTTCACTGCTTCTCGTTCATTTCCGAAATCTGTTAGTATCTCAATGATAAGTCAGAACAACTAACAGTTTGCTGCATAGGATGTGGATCTTTCAAGGCACCACTTTTCACTCTCGTTTGTCCTGTCATCGGGAGACCTCAGCAAGAGGTATGTGAACAATTCGTCTTCCAGAAGACAAACAAAGGTCACATTTGGAATCCACGATAAATTTTTTGCGCCGAAATCTTTGTCTGTATATGGTTGTTGAATACAATATCCCAGCACGCTTCTTAGCAACGTAAAAATAGAGGCATAAAAAAGATTTTCTTCTTATCTCGCATACATTTCAATGGGAAATGCCCTCGGAATGAGATCCGCAAGCTCTCGCTTCAGTTACAGTCTTTCAGGAGCCAAAAAAAGAAAAAACACGGTCTCGTTTCAATTTATCGTGGTTAGTTGCTGATCGGACATGCGATAACTGTGATGTATCTATTTTAGTTTCCTAATCATCTGTTTGCAAGGTTTTTGCGGCTAACCTTGATTAACGAGATCCTGGAAAATCAACTTCTGTCCAAAAAAAAACCAAGGTAGAAGATTCAACTGAATAGAAGGTTACTGTTAAGAGATGCACACCGAACGGAGACGAAGAAGCTACCGGAAATTAGAAGCTTTAAAAGTCAAATTCTAAAACAGGGTGGACTAGAATTTCCAAACCTCAGTGGTACAGCGTTTTTGTGAAATGATAAGTGAAAATAGTAAAATACCTTATAAGAGAAGACAGCTACGCTTCGTAGAAATCGCCGACCGGCAAACTTACTTGGACAATGTACTTCAAGGTCTTTTTTCCCCTCTCGTTCCCAGGGTTTACCTAAATCGGCTTACTCCTCGACAGCCTCGTTTCCGTAGTCTTTCAGCTCGTATTTCAAGATGGCCACTAACTCACCCCGCTTTACCACTCAGGAAATTTTTAACCGAACTTTTTGTTAATAATAATAATAACAATTAAAAACAGCAACCGTAGCAGACTCAACCGACATGCGAGCCAAAGAAAAGAAGAGAAAACATTCGGTTCAGGAAAAGAACATGTTTGGTCTTTCCATTGTAATCTTCAGTTCTACGAATTTTCTTGTACGTACAAGGCTGTAAGTTCAACCGCTTTGACACTGAGTCCCCATTAG